GATCTTGAGGCTGCCGCGGAGTCTTGGCCGTCGCCGCAGTTTCGCCCAGACTCTGCCAAGCCCTGGCACCTTGAAGCCGGGGGCCTCGGCTCGGATTCAGCGGCCGGCCCGGGACTTCCCCGCTGCCGCCGCTCCAGGCCCGGCCGCCTGGCCCGTGACCTCCGCGGCCGACCGCGAGGCGCGCCAGGCCGGGTCGGCGCCCGCTGCCCGCCAGGCCCGGGACGCGCAGGGGCCGGAGAGCGGAGGGGCCGCGCCCTGGCCGTCGCGCCCGCGCCCGCGCCCGGAGCCCGGAGCCCGGAGCCCGGGAGCAGGAGCGCGCAGGTCGGAGCGCGGAGGTGTGAGAATGTGTGAGGGGCATGGTCCGACGAGTGCGGGGCCGTGGGGCGCTGCGCTCCCGCCCCCGGGGCCGTGGGCTTACCGAGCCGCCGCGTGCACGGCTGGGAGCGGGGCCCGGGCGGAGGTGTGCGCGGGCGCCGAGTCCGCGGCCCGGGGCTCCGCGGAGGGCGGCTGTCTGCAAGGACTGCAAGTGGGGCCCCGGCCCGACCAGGCCCCGCCGCGCGCACCGCAGCTCGGGGAGCGCCGTGCCGTCTCGGTTGTCGAGTCTGGGGCAAGCCGTGCCGCCCTGCCCGGCCGCTCTCTCGGTCTCTTCCCGCCCCTCTAATCTAAACCATGCGGGGCTCCCGGCCCCGGCCGGGCCGGCGGGGCCCAAGGGCCGCAGGGAGGGCACCTAGGCGCGCGGTGGGGGATCGCGAGGCCCTCTCGGGGGCTCGGGGTCCTGGGGCCGCGGAGCCAGGGCACCCTGGAGCCCCCCTCCCCGGGGGGCGGCGGGCGCAGACTGATTGACGGCGGCGACGTCAGCGCAGGGGGGTGGCGGCCCCGGAGGGAGGGAGGGGGAGGAGGGAGCTGAGGCCCCAAAGTGCAGCGTCGGAGATCAAGGGCCCGCTCCAGAGCCGGGATGTGTCCGGCCCCGAGGGCGCGGCGGGTAGCGGGACACTGACCCAGGGGCCCCGAGTCGGTGCCCCCACCGTCCCGTGCCCCTCGGACCCGAGCCTGCAGTGGACCTCGGGCCGCAGGCGCCTCCGCATGCAGCAGCGCAGTTAGGGTGAGTGTGGGTTCCTGCGGGGCTGGGGTGAGCCTGGCGTGCGGGGCGGGGACCACCCTGAGCCCAGCGTGAGGCTGCGGGCAGAGGAGGATGAACTAAAAAGAGGCGAGTAACGCGACAGGGGGGAAGAACCTCAGGGACCGGCAAGGCTGCAGGAGGGTGGCGCGATGCGCTGCAGATCAGGCTGCCGCCTCGGCCCGACTCCCAGCGATTTGGGGCGCGAGCCCTCCTCTCCTCCCAGTAACGGGATGAATTGGGTCTAGCGACCCAAGGGCAAAGAAACGACAGCGCCAGCGCCAAAGGAACAAGGTTCAGCCGAGAGACGAGCGGAGCGGTGGTCTTGAAACTGGTGTTTGCAGAATAAGAAAGGCCAAGAAGAGGGCCCGGGCGATATCGTTGTAGAAGTGTGTGGTCGGAATGCTGGACTTCAGGGCCTCGGAGGCAGCAGGCTCGTCAAAATTAAAGCAAGGAGCATCATATATAAGTAATTATCGATGATCGGGAATTATCAGAATATGAGCAATTGCCAAAGAAACAGGGCTAAGCGGCAAAACTAACAGTACTCACACTTTAAAACAAGAATAGTAGTCCCTTTCAGAACAAAGTGAAAATTGTAATCCCAAATTTAAAAGGATTATAGACAAAGTAACTCCAAATACAGGAATAATTTGATAAGAACCATTGTATTAAAATAAATAGTAATAGTATAGGAAATAGTAACAAAGACAAAACTATAGGAAAAAGGTGAACCGTTAAAAATACTATTAAGGGAAATACTAATATTAGTAGTATTGATGGAATACTATCATATAATTTATTATTGATACAATAGTGAATTATTAAAATAAATATTAACCAAAATCTTTAGAGCAATACTAATATAAACAAAGACAGCAACAAGAATTGCTGGAAGAGCAATACTAATATAAACAAAGACAGCAACAAGAATTGCTGGAAGAATATGACAATTTATTACCAAGGTATTAATAGTCCCAACAACATGATAAATAATAGTAGAGTAATAGAAGTATCCTACCAATGTGATGAAAAATAATCAGACTATTGCGAACTAAAGCAATATCACAAATTATGACAAAGTAACAAGGAATAATGATGTGATGAAAAATAACCTGGGAATTAAGATCGTATCGTAACATTACAAATAATGACAAAGTAACAAGATATTGTAACGATGTGATGAAGAATACCTGGAATATGTGAACAATTCTAACAAAACAAATAATGATAAAATAACAAATATTATAAGGATGTGAAGAAAATTAACATCAATTTTGAAAACAATAATACGACAAGTTATGGTAAATTACAATTTATTGAAACTGTGACAAAATACACTGACCGAGGAGCCAGCAACGGAAGCATTTTAGGGGTTCCCAATAAAAGTGAGAATAACACTAGATTAACGTGACCCATTGGAATACTAGATCTAATAATTACCTAGATATTAGTAACACCTTAGATATCACTAAGGTGCCAGGAGGCCCGAGAATGATGGAGCGGTGACAGGAAAGCAACGACATATTTAATAATGATGAATTAACAAATCAAACCAGTACTTTAATTTTACATTATTAAAAATTAAAAGAACTAATCGTTTATGTGTTAGGATATTCTCAATGTCATTGAACTGACCAGAATACTGCTCTGAGAAGAGACATAATTAAAATATTTTAAATAATACAAAATGTTAATTCCCCCAGTGCAAGAAAAATATCACCAGTAATCTAGAGTGAAAAGTAAAATGCTCTTCTTAGTAAACGAGTTGGCTGAAAGCGACGGACCGAGCGAAAGGGCGCCGAGCCGGCGGGCCGTGTCCGCCCAGGGGTCCGCGAGGGGCGAGCGCGGAGGCTGCGGGCCGAGGGCGCCGGCCGAGGGCTCAGGCCGGTGCGGAATCCGGCTGCGCAGTTCGCGCCGGGCGCCGGGTCCGAGCGGAGGCGTGGGGACAGCCACTCTGGGCCAGCGGAGAGGGACGAAAGGAAATTAGCGGGGAGCTCCAGCGACGGCGAGGGCGAGGGCCAGCTGTCGCGATGTCAAGACGTCTCTCCGTGGCGGAGAGAAAAGGAAGAAGCAAGGGAGGGCACCACGCTGCCCTCGCCCGGCTCAGAGCCGAGGGACCGGCGTCAGTGGATGCCGGCCCGGGACAAGCTCCGTGCACCGGACTGAGCGCGCCTGGCGTGAGCCAGAGGGCGGCCCTGCATGGCTCCTGGTGTGACAAGTGCCCCGTAGAGGACCCAGTGGCCAAGACAGCATTGAGCCAGGCGGCGCGTCCCCCTGGCCCCGTGGTCCAACGCACCTGGGACCAGTCGATCACAGGCGCTTATCCCGCTGGCCCCAGATACAATTGGAATCAGCTTGTTGGGCCAGAGTGTGCAACTCCCCTCTTGGAGCAGTTTCCCCTTGCTCTGGGGGGCTCCGGGTTTCCTAGGCTTGGCTGCGACCCCCCTCCCCCCGCAAGTGGCCCAAGGGGTATTGACGCTCGCCCTGCCTGGCAAAACTTGTTTCCTGCTGCCTGTGGCCAGAGGACTGGGAGGGCTGTCAGCTTTATCTTTATAGGCTTTTCCCAGCCTCAACTGGCCCAGGCCCCTTTTTATCTCCCTCGGTTGCACTTGGCTTGTTTACTTTGCGAGGCCCTGAGAGCCAGCGTCTAGGACCTGGGATGGGGAGGCCAGTGGGCAGAATGGTCAGAGGCCTGAGCCTTGGGATGCTCAGGAAGACCCAGGAGACAACAGGAAGAAGACAGGAGAAGGCAGAACATTCCTCCGCAAGAAGGGCAGCTAGGCGCTTAGAAACACCCACCAGCTCCAAAAGAAGGGAGAAGAGCAAAGAGGTGGAAAAGAGTAGAGATAATGCAGGGTTGCATCCATGATGGAGACAGGCAAGGCAGGTCCTGCAGCCTGGACTCATCCTGATATCCCAGGACCAACTTCTAGAAGGCAACAGGCACTGGGCAGGCTGGTTCTAGATTCTTGGGGAAGGATGGCTGTGCCTGGAAGCAGGACTAGGTTGTGCCTGTGAACTGGCTGGGGAGGCCCTCAGTCCTTTGCCCCAAAGCAGAGCCCTTTGGAGCTAAAGTGTGACTGCATGAGCCCAAGAGTGTGAATGTGTGGAGGAGGCTGCGGGTCCCTGGCCCAGTTCAGGGTCTGAATCAGAGCTGCCCTAGGAGAGTGTGGCTGTTTGGGTGACTAGATGGTTCTGTGTGGGTGCTTGTGTCTGGGTGTGAGGATGCATGTGCCTGTGTGAGGGACCCACGGGGTGACTGTGTGTGAGAGTGGGAATGTACAGGAGTGAAAGCCTTTGGTTCAGGAAGGCTTTCTAAAGCATCTGCTCTAAAGCAAATGGGGGAGCAGGGGCCTGAGGGACTGCCCCGCCCTGGGCCCCTTCTGCAGGTGTGGAACCCCAGAAGCCCAGGACCTCCCTCTTGGCCTGGTCTTCTGGTGCCCACCCTGGAAGTGTCCTGGCTGCCCAGGCCTGAGAGTGGAACAGCAAAAAGAGACGGGGGGGGGGGGGGGGGGGGGGGGGGGGGGCTCAGGCTCCACTGGAGCCCAAAAAGAGGGAGGGACTGGGGGTGCAGCTTGGGGCAATGCCGAGAGGGCGGTCCTTCCCCCAGACCTGCTCATCACACAGCCCCACACCCAGGGGCAGGCAGACCTTGAACCTCACACAGACCCTCCCAGGTCCAGAACCCAGAAGGAGGAGGCCACGGTCCTACCCTCCGTATTTTCTCCCTCCCCCAGCTCGGAAGGGGGCGGTGTCCACGTGCGCCAGGGCTGCCTTCCCGCCGGGCCCCAAGTCCCCCGGCTGCACTGGAGCGGGCTGCGGGGCCTCTGGCGAGCGTGGACCCGGACATGTGACGCGGTGTGTGCTGTGCCCGCAGGAGATGCTGCAGGATAAGGGCCTGTCGGAGAGCGAGGAGGCCTTCCGGGCCCCGGGCTCCGCGCTCGGCGAGGCCAGCGCTTCCAACGCCGCCAACGCCCCCGAGCCCGCGCTGGCTGCGCCGGGCCTCAGCGGAGCCGCGCTCGGCAGCCCCCCGGGCCCGGGCGCCGACGCCGCCGCCGCCGCCGCCGCCGCCGCCGCAGAGCAGGTAGGGACCCCTGGCCGTCGGGCAGAGGTCGGGCGTCGTCCGTCTGTCTGCAGGGCCGCCCGAGTCTGCCAGGCCTCCCCGACGAGAGCAAGGCTCGCTGCCCCGGGATCTGGCTGCGTCCCGGACTGAGCGTTCTGCTCCGCGGGGACGGGGCTCCCGCTCTCCGCCTTCCGTCCCTCTTCTGCTTCGCGCCCTTGGGGCTACTCGGGGACCGGCGGGGGTGGGGACGCTGGTGGCCGCGGGGCGAGTCCCGGCGGAGGGTCCAGCTCCGACTACGCCGAGAGGGCAGGGGCGAGAGCCTGGCACGGGGGGCAAGGACGGATCCCAGCCAGTGCGAGCGGGGGGCCGCCGCGGGGTCGGGGCGGAGAGGGTCACGGGGATAACCCGACGGTCCCAATGAACCGAATCCGTCTGTGCGGGCCCTCGGCCTGCGTGGGTCTGGCCGCGGGGATGTGTGTCCTTCCTGGGTCTGTGTGTCCGCAAGGCTACCTCCCGCACGTGGAGTGTTGATATTTGTGTCGTGTGTCATCTACCCTGGCAAGATCAGTATGTGTCCTCTGCGGACCACCATAGATAGGTGCAGCTCCGAAGGAGGGTTTCGGCTCCTGATTAAATTTTGAAAAATTCGTCAGGGGTATGGTGTAATTTTATGAAACGAAACCTTCAGGCATGGGGTCCTGGGGCTGGCAGTACTGTGTATAGTTCCTTGGGTCTGTGCTCTTGTCCTGAGGCCCCGCGTAGAGCTGTGGCCCAGGTGGACGTAAGTCCCCTTTCCCTCTCATCCCTAGACCATCGAGAACATCAAGGTGGGCCTGCATGAGAAGGAGCTCTGGAAGAAGTTTCACGAGGCGGGCACCGAGATGATCATCACCAAGGCGGGCAGGTCAGCGCTGGGACATTTACTTGGGGGATGGAAGATGACTGGTGGGAGCAATGGGGATCCTTAGGAGCTTCCTTAACAGTCCTCTCCGGCTTCAGCCAAGGGAGCCACAGGCATCCCCTTGGCTGCTCTGGCCTTAGCCCCTACCGCGTTTGGCAACTGGGCTGCAGCAGAACTTCCCCAAGGGGATCCTCCTCTAGGAAGCCGAGGGGGATGGAAGGATGGGAGGGCAGCACTATGCAAATAAAATGCAAATAAGGATCCCCACATCCTAATTGGTCCCAGTTCCAGCACTATCAGCCCTCTGGGGGGCTGCTTTGTCCTCATTCTTTTGGGAACCTGCCTAGTTTCTCAGGATTGCATTGACTAGGGATCCGGAGATGGCCCTCAATAGATGGAGGAAGGGGACTTGACCAAGTTTCCCTATTTCCATAACTTTTCTGGGGCAGCATGAACCCCAGATCTCTCATCCCATGGGCGCTGCTCCTCTTTGCCAGTGCCCCCCCTCAGCCAAGGAGAGGGCACCGCTGGGCCCTGTGTGTGTTGTTTAGGGAGCAGCTCTCCGGTGGCTGCCAGACATGATGATTTATAAAGTGGAAACATCTTTAAAATGCACTGGTGTCTGTGGGAGAGAGCCTGGAGGAGGGTGTGAGAGGAGAGAGATGCAAAGGGGGAAAGGAGTCTCGGGTGGGGCAGGAAGGACCAGACCAGCATTATTCAGTGGAGGGGAACTGCTGTGGGCAGAGACCCTGGAAAGTTCAGGTGTAGGAACCGACCCCCCCACACACTTAACTCACATTTGATTTTGGTCCCTGGGGGACAAGGAGGTGTGAAATTGTCCCCTGGCCTGGCTGTGGGCCCATAATAGGGTTTTCCAAGGAGTAAAGTGGTGAAGCATCAAGGGCCAGGGATGAGGAGTCAGACCTCAGCGGCTTCCAGCTCCACTCAGCGGCTTCCATCCAGCAAGGTGCTTGGATCTCTGCCCTCTCCTCGTCCCCCTCTGCAAAATAATACATACAGTTGTATGCAAAGCACCAAGCAGGGCTCCTGGCACATGTAAGCCTGCCATAAATGCTAGCTAAAATTAATTGAAATTAGAGAAATGCCTGGCATCCACTCAGCATTTTTCTTCTACTTTTTAAAGAAGTCGTGCTGAACCGCTCAGAGAACGGTGTGCTGTTCTAAAGAAACAAAAAGCTGGTAGTTTGCAGTGTGTAGTGTGGCTCCTCTAGTCTGCTCTCTGGCAGGCCTTGCAAGGTTTTCTTTGTCTTGTTGGGGGTAAAGGTCTGGGTGCTTGGCCACCCTACCCAGGCAGATGGCAAAGCTACCTGGAGCCTCTATCAGGAGAACAAGCAGGGGAATATTAGGGCCTGAATTTGCTGCATTTGGGAGATGGGGAAAGAGGATGCACTAGGGCAACCTGGTAGAGGTTGGAATAGTCCTCTTGAGGACAGTGGGAAGCCAGGTGTCACAAGCCTTGCCTCCTCCTACTTGAGTGCACTTGGGCAAGTCTCTAAACTTCCTGTGGCTTGGTAGTGTTGGGTAAAACAGCTGGTGACTGTAGACTTACCTGCCATCCTTCGTTTCTTACTGTGAGACTCATACCAGGGGTCACAAGAGCTATGTATGGTAAATTGTTGAGTGGATTATAGGTGTGAAGAGGGGGAATTTATTTCTTGTGACTGTTGAGGTGGAGGGAAGGAAAGAAGAAAGAGAAAGATCCAGAATTTCCCCTTTAAGGCAGCAGAAATAACCTTGTCTTTTGAAAATAAGTGGCCAGCATGTTCTTGGGGCTTGCCCGGCCTCTGCCATTTAAAACAAAAGGTATTTTTCATTCTCCTCAGTGGGGTTTCCTGCATCTGATTGGGTCCTCCTTCCCTTCCCCCAACACAGACACACACACACACACACACACACACACACACACACACACACTTCCAGAGGTGACTAGCTTCTGGCAGATGTTTGTGCCTGATCCTAGTGGAAGCTTAGAGATGGGCCTCAGGGAATGAGGATAATAATTTTTAAATGGCTGCGATGAAGTTGACCAATTATGGTTTCCTCACACTCTTTCATTTCTCTGGCAGACAGTGATTCTTGCACCAGGTCTAGTCCTTATGAAAGTCATTAGCCTCATTGCTCCTCCCTGTGGTCCTCACAGGCCTTCTTCCCTCCTGCCTAGCTCCTTGCTGACCTCAGAGACCACATTGGTGGCTCTGACCCCCCATGGAACCCTCCCCCTTCACTGCCTCCCTTGCATGGGCAGCCTCAGGGGTGCTGGGCTGGGCTCATGGCTCTTCCACATCCTGTGGATTCCCAGTTCTCTTATTTGTGTCTCTATCGGCACCCTTCCTGGAACACCTGCATGTCTCAGCAGATGGCCTGGACCCTTCTCCTGAACCTTGAATCACAAATTCCTAGACTGCTTGAGCTGGAGGGGAACCATGAGAACATAACCTGACCCTAGAGAAGGGAAGACACTTGGCTCTTAGAGATAGAAGCAAGATTGGGCAGGTGCCAGTCTACACAAGCCAAGCAGATGATGATCCACCCCCAGAATGAAACCCAACTTCGAGAAATTCCCCTCTTTGCTTATTTTCAAGGCCATTCAATGTTGCACTGCCCTAGGGACCCTGGCTGGTCAGGGCATGGTCATTGCCGTAGGTTGAGGGAGAGGCAGGCCCTGGAGAAGGGGAACTGGAATGTTCTCATACTAATGTATCTTTGGGTCATAAGCCTCTTGCCTTAAGCCCTCAGAGATCTGAAGCCCAAAGGAGAATAGTCCCCTTTATCGGATAGGGGCTTTGGATTCTCAAACCACTTGATCTAGGGAAGAAAAGGCCAATCACATCGGGAGACATCAATTTCTGAACCCTCAGTAACTCCTGATGTCAGGTGTAAAATGGGCCAGAATTTTCCCAACCAGTTTCTGCCCCTCTCAGTCTCCTTCATGCACAAGTTTTCAGCCGTTTACTCCACAGAGCGGACCCCTCCCCTCTCTACCTCCTTCATATCCCCGCCAAGCCTGATACATGTGAGAAACTGCATTTGCTCCCAAACATAGATAAAAGTGAGCTCCACAAAAATTTAAATATAAACCTCCCAAAAATGAAAATTTCCTAACCGTTTGACTGCTCTACTCCTAGGTCATGGCTTTGCCACCAGATAAATCTCCACTATCAGCCTTCATAGCCTGTTGAGTTCAATGTTGCTTGTGTTAGTGACAGTGAATTTGCGTTTGAAAAATGAACTACCGATGAGAACTCCTGTTGAACCTGTATTGTTTGTTATTCTGAGGCAAGGATTTGGCCCAGCTTAATCCCGGGCTTCAAAGCCAATTGCCCTCGCTCTGTATACAGAGCGTCAGAGCCCAGTGGCGTGGGTGATAAGACAAGTAAGGGTTGAAGACACTGGGAAAGTGGATTGGGGAGAGAGTCCTTTGATCTCTTTCTAAAGTATTTTCTGAAAGCAAAAGTCTATCAGAAGGAAGTGTCTTTAAAAAAAAAAATCTGAGAAGCAAGTGATCTTCCAAAACAGCATCCATTCCACACACTCTCACTCCTGCCCCTCCACCTCAGGGAAAATATTTCTTAAAAATGCTTTGAGTGAATTAGAAAACTCTCTCTCTGTGTGTGTGTGTGTGTGTGTGTGTGTGTGTGTGTGTGTGTGTGTGTGTAAAGTGGGAATACATTTTGAAGTTTTGCCGTTGCTCTCAGAAATCATTTGGCCCTAGACGGTTTGGTCTCAGGTCTCTAGACAACACCAACAACACAGCACCCCCTCCTCCAGCAAACTGAGCCTTGGTTGATGGGCCCTAGACTCTTCCCAACATGCTCAGAAATCTCAAGATTCCCAGACACTAGGGAAAGAAGGGTGGATTTTTCTGTGGACCCCCATCCTTTGCCTGCAAACCATTCCTTTCAGGCTCTGGGCTCTACCGCTGGTGTATACATCATGTATGTGTATGCATGACATATACACAGGGCTAATTTTCAATGTCCATTTTATTGAAGTGGAACATTTCTGCATAAAAAGGAACATATCTTAACTGTCCAGCTCTATAGACTTTTACAAAACGAATACCCCCAATCAAAGCACCACCAGATAAGGAAAAAACAGAATCGTCTTGTGTGCCTACCCCCACCACCACCACCACTCCCCGCCTCCCTGGAAGCGCCCCTCTCCAGACTTCTCACCCCTTCGGTTTGGTTTTGTGGCTTCGTTTAAGGGAAGGCACATTAGCTGCTCCTGGGCTTCCTAGGCCCCCAGAGAAAGTCCGGCTGCCGTCGGGCTTGGCTTGGGGGCCTGGCTAGGTGGAGAGAATCTGGCTGGTCCGCTAGGTCCGACTTACTCTCCGCACCTCCCCCCCTTCTGGATGGGTTGGGGGCTTGTAGGTCAAGGCCAGGAATTTGGCTACGGCCACATTTGGCGGGGGAGCCGGGAGCCCGGAGCCCCTGTGGCTCTCTAGCCCAGCTGAACTCGCACGTCCCCTCTCAGCAGCGAGCGAGCATTTAAGGGGTTGTTGCCAAATCCCAAGGCCCCGAATCCCTTGCCCCGCGCCCCGCAAGCCTCCCACGCCGCCGAGAAACGTCCAAGGAAGCTTATCTTAGCAGTTCATTCTAAAACCATTTCCGAGTATGAAGCAGATAAAGGCTCCAGCCCGCACCCTTTCAGAGCCTGTTTCATGATCAGAGGAGAAACCCCGGCTTTCATCTCCTGCCGGGCGGCGGGGCGGCGGCTTGTTTATTCCCCGGCGGGGCCGTTTCCGCGTGTGCCGGGAGCGCCGCTGTGCCCGCGGGGCCCGAGCCCCGAGGGGGCGCCCGGGGCGCAGACCAGAGGCTCGCGGGGCGCAGGCGCGGTGGGGGAGGGGGCTTGAGGGCGCGGGACTCGGGGGCCTTCGGGTGTCGGGGACAGGCGGCAGGCGAGCGGGGGTTCCCGGCCAGCGCTGGCGGCGGGGCAGAGGGGGCGCCCGGCGGCTCAGAGTCATCCCCTGTCTTCCTGGCCCTCCCTCCCCGACCCAGGGAGGCGTTCATTGCCCCCGCAGACGGAGGCTTGAGGGGGCATTTATGCCCTCGCACCCCGTCCTTTCATCTGTTTCCCTAGAGTGGGCCTTCACAGTGTAGGGGGAGCCCGAGGATGTCACAGCTCCTGCACCCAGCTTCGCGTCTGTGGCGAGAGTCCTGCCCACCTGGTGCACGCTCCCGTGCTGGGTCCCTGGGCTCCACTGCTAGCCACCCCTGGCACCCAGGGCAGATGCCTTCAGCCCGCAGCAGGAGGTTTAGGACCGGCTGGGTGGACCGCGTGCTTCCCCTGCACTCCCAGCCTTTCGCCCACACCGGTGTGCCCTTCCTTCCGCTGGAGCCCCAGGCGATGGGGAAATGATAGTGCCCAGGGCCAAGGCTGTTGTCTGGCTGTTCTCAGAAGCAGCCACCAAACTGGGCCCTAGTGGAGAGGGAGATACCTATTCCTGGGAAGGCAGTGGGGCTTGCTCAGCATGAGTCTTCAGCCTGGAGCAGTGGACTTCGGAACTCCGCTTTCAGACCAGATATCCCATCCCCCCTCCCTGCTTCTAAGGGCTGCTGCTCTAGGAAGAGGGGACTTGGTAGGCAGAGGGGGCAGAGGCCAGGAGACGCCTTCCTTCCCTTCCCCAGCTCTTGGCAAAACCTCCCTCTGGGGGCTTTCAGTCAGGAATCTGGTCCATAGTCAGCTTCTAGGAGAAGCCAAACCACAGGACACCAGTTCCCTGCCTTGGGGAGCTGAACACAGGCTGCTTATGGGCCTTCTAAATACCAGCCTGGCCCCCTGAGCTGCAGAGATGAAGTGGAGTAGGGAGTAGGAGAAGGTGAAGGTCCTCCATCCTCCAGCCTAGGTTATGAGGACTATTCCAGTGGCAAGGAGCCACTTTCTCCTGGACCCTCTTTGTAGATTCTGGCCTGGGGGGCAGCCACGCCCGCCCTCTGCTATTGCCACCTGGAGTTATTACAGGAGAAACAGGCTAAGTGCAGGGCACTGGTGCCAGGTCAGCCAAACATAGCCAGGGCCGCCCCATTTTGTGGCAGTTTCTGTAGCAGTTACAAAATGGTGGCCTGGGGGGGACAGGATTCTGGGCCTTCCCCTGGGGAGGAGGGGAGGTGAGGCAGCTGTGGCCTTCCCTGGCTCCAGCTTTAGGCCTATCAGGGGAGAGGCTGGGCCAGGAGAGAGGGTGGTGCAGGCTCCAGCTGTGCCCCCAGGCTGGGCAGGGGCTGGTGAGCAGGAGGCAGGATTGGGTTCCTGCGCCCTCTCACTTCCCCCATTCCTGAAGAGGGGGTGGGGTGGACATTTGAAAATGCTTTCAATTGACATCTGAGACAAATTCTTCCACACGGTTTATAAGTCCCTAGACTTGCAGCTAGAACTTCCCTCCTCCCTCCAGGCACGCACACATGCACACATGCGCACTCCACTGTGTACTCAAGGACACGGGCTTGTGCATGCACACGGCTGCACACCTCCCACATCCCTGGCCCACTGCAGTGCTCTCCTGGGCCTTTCCTCCCACAAGAGAGAGAGTGACCAGACTGCGGCTGGGCCAGGGAAAGAACTGAATCCCCCACCTCAGAGTCCTGGCCTGGGCTTGCTGCAGGGTTGGCTGGCTTGTGGAGGCCTATTGAGGCCTCACTTCTGGAAGCCCTTCCTGTCTGGGTAAGCTAGTACCCCTGTTGACAAAATGGGGGGCTTCAGTCATCTATTAGAGATGTCCGGGACAGCTTCTCTTGAGGTTCCCCCTTACTGTCTCTCGGTTTAGTGAGGAGGCAGAGGATGTGGACTGGTTGGGCTTTGTTCCAGCTTGGGGGGGAGAGGGGGGTTTAGCTCCTGAAGCTTTAGTGTCTTCAGTTAGGTTTGGATCCTGCCTCTTTCTTGGGGAAACACCTCTGTAGATTAAGCTAGGAGTGGGTTGGGGTGTCTGAGGAGAACTGTGAGGAACTTCTGTCTGCCCTCTGGGGAAGTCCAGTGTCAGGGACCTGGTGACCAGGGGGGCAGGGCTGTGCCCCTGCAGGGAGATGTACATCCTATTATACAGCTGTGGGTGCTGGGGAAGCCCTTCTCTAGAACATTCACTGAGCTTCAGGTCCTGGACAGTCTTAGCATGGTCCGTGGAAACTGGATAACTTCCTGCTTTTTGATAAGTCAATTTTCACAGAGGAAGGTCATCCACTGGTTCACAGAGGAAGGAGTGCAGTGGGGGCCAGTGGTAAGAGTCACAAATGGACTCTGTTAATCTTACACTCCAACCTATATGAGATAGGTAGTAATATCCCCATTTTAGAGATAAGAAAACCAAGGCACACACAAAGAGATCCATACAAGTTGCCCAATGCCTCACAACTTGTCAGTGGCCCATGGCACCGTAGTTCTAGAATCTGTGCTTTTCTCCGCGAGGCTCCTGAGCTGACCTCCCGTGGTACCCCAGTTACTGTGCATGGGCCCAGGTGAGGTCTTCACACAGTTAAACACTCTTGCTAAACACACCAAAAGAATCCATAGACCCAGCCACACTCTCCTGTTTTCCTGTGTGTCGGTTTGAGGCCTGAGGTCTTCCACAAAGACAAGGCCCAGAGGAGACACCCCATTGATTACAGAAGCTGCTGATAGGGATTGCGAGGTCTTTTGCTCTGATTCCTGTAATGGCACCCCAGAACTTTAGTTGTGTAGGGACTGGCAAAGGACAGGAGGGAAATTCAGCAGTCAGGTTGGTGTTGAAATCCTCTCTCATGACCCTGGGGGTTTGTATGCTTTAGCTACTCATAGCCAGTAGGCCTAAATATTAGAGGATAATAGGGGAGAGGGAATTGCATTGCGGAAGTCACGTAAGCCCTCTTCCTAGACACAGCTCCTGGGTACACAGCTATACAGCTGGAGCGGCCCTTCCCCTGTGTAGGGGGAGACTGAGGCCCTACCTCAGTCAGAGAGGAGTGCCTTACCCAGCTCACACAGTTCTGATCGGGGCCAGTCTCTCTCTCTAAAGATTTTTATTTATTATTTGACAGAGAGAGAGAGAGAGAGAGAGAGAGAGCCAGAGAGCACAAGCAGAAGGGACAGAAGAGGCAGAGGACGAAGCAGACTCTCCTCTGAGCAGGGAGTCTGATGCAGGGGCTGGATCCCAGGACCCTGGGATCATGCCCTGAGCTGGAGGCAGACACTTAACTGACTGAGCCACCCAGGTGCCCTGAGGCCAGTGTCTCTTAAGGCCTCTGTCCCCTCACCCCTGTGTGCCATCTCTCTGGTTCTTTGTCTGTGCCTCTGCCTCACACCTTGGCTTCCCTCAGGAGGATGTTCCCCAGCTACAAGGTAAAAGTCACAGGCATGAACCCCAAGACCAAGTACATCCTGCTGATTGACATCGTCCCTGCGGATGACCACCGCTACAAGTTCTGTGACAACAAATGGTAAGAACCTGGGACCCTCACATCCCCTGTCTTCTCTCAACTGTCTGCCGTCACCACACACATTCCCCACCTGATGTTTGGTCCAAGAACCCACCAGTTAGTTCAAATGTTCGCACAGACCCCAGGCTTGGGAACCGAGCCTGCAGGGGCTGAGGGGTGGGCAAATGTCTGCACATCTGCTGCAGGTGGGGCCAGGACTGGAAACAAGCTGCAGGGTTTGAGAGGTTGTGGCTTTCAAGGGTCTGTTCTCTCCCTGCAGCTGTGGACAGGAAGGATTGGAGACTATGCATGGTGTGACAGTCACCAACACTGGATGATTCTAGGCTCTGGTCGTGCTGCACTGGGGACGGGGATGGGAGCCATTTCCTTGGGGGACTATGATACTGGATGGTTATTATATAGGTGCCTGGTCTCTTTGCTGCTTTTCCTTATCTTCATTGTCTGGCTGTGAGCCCTCCTTTTCAGCTGTTGGTCCAGAGTGAGGGGCAGCTGTGTGCTGGTTGGATGATGGGACCCTTTGGCAAGGGGCTGGGGAAAACAAATGGGTTGTAGGGCAAAACTAGGGCAGGGTAAATAAATACGGGGCTACTTTTCCTAAGGCCATCCCCTTAGTACCCTGGCTGTCCCCAGAGCCCCAGACAGCACCCAAGGAGAGAGAGGGGCTGAACAAATTAGCCGCTAGTCAGGATGTGGGCTCCGCAGTGGGTGAGTGGTAGGATCAGCAGGGACTGGTCTGAGGAGGCAGGATTCAGGGGCCAGGTCCTGCCCAGGGCCATGTGTCTATTTCTTCTCTCTTTGGATTGCTTGATCATTCTGAGCAGGCTCTGGCTGAGGGGACACTACCAATTAATTTCTTTGGGGGCAAGCACTGTATTGGGGACAAGCAATTTAAAAGTTGTCTAGGTCCTCTGAGAATAATATAACATAACATTTTAAAAATGAAACTATAACACGTACACAGCAGTGCCTAAATCTCCCCACAATATGTATATTTGTAACGAGCCTCATTCTTTGAAGTAAAGAATCACATTTGTCTGTAACTTCCCTTTCTCTTTCTACTTCGATGAGACAAAAGAGGTTCGGAATTGCTGCTGCTCCTCAGCACTCTCTCCTCTGACCCTCATGCCTACTCACAAAGTCCTAAATTGAGAGTACAGGATGAGCAGTGATTTTTTTCCTTCAGGTTTATGGGGATTTGCTCTCAGAGGGGACAGGGAATCTGGGGCTTTTCCAGAACCCAGAGTAATCAACTGCCATGGTTCTGTTTGCTCTATTGGCAGGATGGTGGCAGGGAAGGCTGAGCCTGCCATGCCAGGACGGCTCTATGTCCACCCCGATTCTCCTGCCACTGGGGCCCACTGGATGCGGCAGCTGGTCTCCTTCCAGAAGCTGAAGCTCACAAACAACCACCTGGACCCCTTTGGCCATGTAAGAGAGAGCCTGCCTGACCTTGAGAGCCAGTCCTGGTGCATCGCTGGGCGCAGGGTGGGGGATTGGGGGTGGGTGCTGGGTCGGGGTGGAGATATGGAGAATCCACTCTGGGGATCCAGCTCCAGGCTTTGGCACTTGCCGGGCTGGACTGGAAGGAGCAGGGGTCCAGAGTCCCACAGCTGTACATCCTTCCCCTCACACTTGCTGGCTGGGTAACTTTGGGCAAATTTTCTTTCTTTCTTTCTTCTTTCTTTTTCTTTCTTTCTTCTTTCTTTCTTTCTTTTCTTTCTTTCTTTCTTTCTTCTTTCTTTCTTTCTTTCTTTCTTTTAAAGGTTTATTTATTTATTTATGATAGACACACAGAGAGAGAGAGAGAGAGGCAGAGACACAGGCAGAGGGAGAAGCAGGCTCCATGCCAGGAGCCCAACGTGGGACTCAATCCCGGTACTCCAGGATCGTGCCCTGGGCCAAACGCAGGCGCTAAACTGGGGAACCCCTGAGCCACCCAGGGATCCCCCACTTGGGAGAATTTCTTGGCCTCTATGAGCCTTAGTTTCCTCATCTAGAAAACTTTCATGGTTTCAAGAATTAACTAAGAGAATATGCATGAAGTACTATGCCCATGAGAGGCTCTAAATAAATGGCAGCTATGACAAGGATGATGATGATGGATCAAATCTCCCAGCTTCAGTTTCCCCAAATTTGGCTTTACTGGAGCCTAAGACAAGCTAACTTTCTTGGGAAAGAGTCACTGATGAGTTCTGAAGCCTTTCTCTGGCCTGTGCCGTCTGCCCGGCCTGGCAGTCCCTGCCCTCTGGAAGGGAAGGCCTCGCTCTGGCTCCTGTGGCAGTTCCTTCCTGGCCATGCCTGGGACCTGGCTCTTACAGGAGAGACTCTGAAGCCCCAGGGATGCTGCTGCTGACGCCCCATCCAGGCTGCTGAGCCTCATTCTTTCCCCATCTGGCTCTGGCAGGCCCACAAAAAGCATTTTATGTGGAAATTTTTAGCTCAAGTGTGTGGCAAACTGAAGCCTGGGGACCTGGTATTATCCGCCAGGGCACAGGCCCTGCCTGTCTCCACTACCCACCATTACTCTGAAAGGATAGGGTGGGGTGTGGTGGAGCACGGGTGCCATAGAGCCTGCTGGATGCAGTTGCCCAGGCTGTACACATAACACTCAGGGTGCAGATGGTGGTAGGGGAAACAGGGGTGGGGAGTGTGCAGGTACGTGCCTCTTTTATCCCTTAAATGTATTTCTGGGGTGCTGTGTGCAGATCAGAATTCTGTGAATCATAGTTCCTCATGGAAAATGCTAGCAATGGTCATTTCTGATTGATTGGCATATAAGACAAGCAACTCTTAGTTCTCATTTCCTCAGAGTCCGTTTGGTTCTATTCTGAGTTAGTAATCTATAACCAAGCAACTAGGAGAAAGCTTAATTAACATAATTAACTCCCTCCTTTTCCATTTTGCAAGGAGCACAGGTTTTGCCCTGCAAGACAGGCAGGTGCTATCGGGTGTGTGGCAGAAAGGTGCAGCCCTAATCTTTCCCTGGGGGTGGAGACAAGCCACCAATCTAATGGGAAGGGTTGGCCAAGCCCTTCTCCCAGAGCTCAGGGCCTTTTCATGGAGGGACAGAAGGGCCTCTTACTGGGCACTCTCCTGGTGGAGACTTTGCTCCCAGTAGGCTCCTACCTGGCCTCCTCTGCTTGCCCAGGCCATGGCATTAATGTGGAAAGGTTAGCAAGGGTCTTTATGGTGGGATTTCAGGAACCTAGTTGGCAGGCGCCTCTCTGCCCACAGCTGCACACATGGACCCCATGGACAGACCACTGGGGTGAGCAGAGAGCTTGGCCAGAGCTGGATCCTTGAGTGAGTGGCCAAAATTACCTAAGGATCAAAGTTCTGGTGAGAAGTTTGGATGCATAGCTTGCTGTCATGATTCCCAGCTGCAGGGATGCCTCAGAGGATTCTCCTACCACCCCCAACCCTGACCTTGGCAGAAAGTGGCAGGGGTGGGACTCAGGTGGTTGAAAACCTGGCCTTTTTCAAGAAGTGGGAGAGAGACCTGGGCTTGGTAGCCCAACAGATTTTTGTAGCCTGGCTTGCCTCTGTGGTGGCTCTACTGGAGTCTGTAGGGGTTGGCAGTAATCCTGCATATAGTCTTGAGTCTGAGCCAGTGGGGCTGCTTGAGGGGCTCGTGATGTTGTGGTGCCCCTGGCTCTACTTGCCATCCTGCCTGGAGCTCATGTCTCCTTGGCAATAGGGATATTCCTCCTACTAATCCAGCTTGCTCTCTAGAGGGTTGGGATGCAGAGCATCTTTCTTTTCCTCTATCACTGCATCCACCCAACATGAGCAGCTTATTGGTTATAGCACACCGTGAATGGTGGCAGGACTCAGAGACAAGGTGACTATCTCAGGGGCTGGGAGGAAAAGAGCCCTCTTGGACATACACCTGTGTCCAGTACAGAATTCTTTTGGCTTCTCCACCTGTCCTTCTGTACACAGGGCTTGAGCTGTCACATCTTCAACTATTTGGGACATCACTGGAGAGGGAGCAGCTTTTGGCCATACAGGCAAGGGCTGTGGAGCATGAACTGGATGTTCCTAGATAAGCCATGTGGACCATGGCTTTCTGCTCATTGGCCTGCACTGAGGGAAGTGCTGAGCTCCTCATCACCCTGCCTGGCTTCTCAGGGCAGGAGCCTGGGAAAGAGCCAGCTCCTAATATGAGTCTGCCCCAAACAAGCCCCTCCTGCACTGTTCTCCTCCACAGTTTCAGTTTTTCCTAAAATCTCTCAGACCTCGAGGAACTTTCTCAGGCAAATGACCTTTGGTCTTTCCCCTTAGGTCTCATAGTATCTTGGGTTTTTTTTTTTTAATTTTTTTTTTTATTTATGATAGTCACAGAGAGAGAGAGAGGCAGAGACACAGGCAGAGGGAGAAGCAGGCTCCATGCACCGGGAGCCCGACGTGGGATTCGATCCCGGGTCTCCAGGATCGCGCCCTGGGCCAAAGGCAGGCGCTAAACCGCTGCGCCACCCAGGGATCCCTATCTTGGGGGTTTTAGCTGTTGCCTTTCATTTGCAGCCTTCCCCCGGGGAGAAGGGTCCAGGGTCCCGGCGAGGGCTTGGGCTTGGTAGTCGGTCCCCCGTATAGGGAACAGGGACCCCTCAGACTAGGGCCCCAGTTCAGCTCCACTCCTATTCTGCTGCCCACAGAGCCTGCCCACCTCTTGCCTCCTACTTGCACCCCCTCCCACTCCTGGCAGGGTCCTGGGCCCAGGAATGGTGACATGGTAAGAGAAGCTGCTTCAGGAGATTGAGTAGGTAGGGCCTGCTGCCTCCAGCAGGACAGGGAGATGGCTGGGTCTTTTCTCCTCATCTGGAGGCAGGGAGCAGATGGCTGCAGTGGGGTGTGTCTCTGGGTCTGTGCGTGTGTTCTTGTGAGCAGAGAGATGGCCTTCACCACCTCTTGTGTCCCAGGGCTCCCAGATTGCTGGGGTGGAAGACCAGATTATGATTTCCAACATAGTGAGTAACTGTTCCAGAGGCTGACTTAGCTCCAGGCTGGGTGCGTGGGCCGCAGCTCTTTGGTCACCAAGTGGCACAGTCCCCTCAGTGTGCCACTTCCTCCTGGGACCACATGCTCTTCACCTAGTTAGTTACCCCTCAGCCTTGGGGTCCAAGCTCAAATGTCACTTCTTTGGGGCAACAGTTCAGGGTCCCCCTTACATGCTCTCAGATCACCTTTCTGTCCTAGGACATACCACAGTTAGAATTTTATTTTTTTTAACGATTTGTTCATTTATTTTAGAGGGGAGGGGCAGAGGAAGAAGGAGAGAGAATCCTAGGCAGACTCCCCTCTGAGTGCAGAGCCCGACCTGGGGCTTGATCCCAGCACCCTAAGATCACAACCTGAGCTGAAACCAAGAATCGGATGCTTAACTGACTGCATCACTCAGAGCTCCTAGAATTTTATCTTTATTAATAAAATTTGGTTTTGTTTTATTTTTTTTAATTTTTTTTATTTATTTATGATAGTCACAGAGAGAGAGAGAGAGAGAGGCAGAGACATAGGCAGAGGGAGAAGCAGGCTCCATGCACCGGGAGCCCGACGTGGGATTCGATCCCGGGTCTCCAGGATCGCGCCCTGGGCCAAAGGCAGGCGCCAAACCACTGCGCCACCCAGGGATCCCTAAAATTTGGTTTTGAATAAGAAATACAGTCACATGATTTAAAAATAAATCAAGGAATAAATAAAAATGTGTGTAACGAACCATTTTTCTCCTCTGGTTCCCTATCCACCAGTTTCTTCTAATCCCTGCCACCAGAAACCACTGTTACTACTTTTGTTTTGGCATTTCTTTTTGCATAGACAAGTAGAGTACAGAATCTCAGATCCTTTCTCTTATACACAAAAGATAGCGTACTATAAATGCTTTTTGCCCTTTCTTTGTCAACAGTATAAAATGGAGATCATCCTGTTCCTGTAGAGCTTCCTCTAATTCCTTGTCTTATGGCCACATAGAATTTCATCATGCAGTTGTTCCATAAATTATGTAGCTCGTCCTTACTGGAGAAATTAAGAGGCCAATGTTTGCTCTTTCAGCTACACTTGTGTGTTATATCATTTTACGCCTGTGTCAAAGATCTTTGACGTGATCGTGACGAGTTGCTTGCTCAAAGGGATATTTGGCATTGTGGCTTGTCGTTTCGCCTTCCCTTGGAGTGTACTGATGTGTATTCCCACCACAGCTACTGTAGCCTCACCAACAGGTGGGAGAGACCTTGTGGACTTCTGCCCGGCTGATCGGCAAACTGTAGATACCGGTTGTAGTTTCAATTTGTATTTCCTTTATAATAAGTGAAGTTAGCATCTTTTTCCGCTTCTGTGAACTGCTGTCCTTATCAATTGCTCATTTTTCTCTCAGATTTTGGAACACTTATCAATTCTAGGAGCTTGTATACATTAGGAAGATTTAGCCTCTGTAT